GAAAATTTCCTTGGCTTGGTGCATGGACTACTACATCTACGAAACATAAAGAATAATTAAAGTTTTCAAAAACTTTTTTTTTCGAAACGTGAAACTTTAAGAAAATGAAATTTTATTCAAAGTAAAATTTCGCTTTCTTTGAAGGTAGAGTTCAACTTGTCTTCACTCTGGGGATTGCGTAACTTTTCATACATTACTTCTATGCAAGCAGTTTATTGCTTCTTCTTAAATTCAGAATAGAACCAATTTTTAATGTAATTAAAATCAAACTTTAAACCGTGTAAAAAAAAGAAAATAATTTATTTAGCTTTTTATTTAAAGCCTTGGCATTAAAAACTTTCGAATCCTACCCTTTTTAAATATTACACTCTATCGTTTTCTATTTTTCGTAATGGTCCGCCAGCTATGGAGGTTAATCAAGGTATTTTTTAATTATATATCCAAAGATATTGCGCTTATTTGGATACAATCAAACTACGGCGCGGTATTTGAAAGTACAAATGTAGGGCACTGTACGCAATATACGAATTATTTATAGTTACTAACTACCTACACAAAAAAGAAAATTTAAAAAAAATTTATTTGAAAAGACTGAAGAAAACAGACCATTAAATATAGTAAGAAGAGGTCTTTCTTAATATCAATTCAAATATCTTGATAGAAGTGAACATAGAGCCGCGGGATACCTTGCTTCACGTAAATAAATAAATATTAAATAAATAAATAATAAAAGTTGTCTTCAAAATTCTAAATGATTTCCCAAGATGCACTAACAACTGTAAGTAGAAAGAAAGAAAGTGATTCAGTCATTTGGTGAAAGCGCGTAAAAAGAGTTAAATATCGTATAATGCGAACAGATTGAAGATTCCAAGCATCTGGAGAAAAGTATACTGCTTCATGTAAAGTTAATAAAAATTAGAAATCCTTAACCCTTCTATACATTCCTTAAATAGTCGCTGCGGCGAAATTGTAAAGTGCATCTTGCAAACCCTAAGTGCTTTCTTAAGATGCCCTAACAACTATCATTATGTTTGTAAAAGTTCACTATTATCAATGACGATAAACTAATAATTTAACGTTTAATGTAGTTGTACTTAAATCCAATAGATTATCTAAGAATTTGAAGAAGTATTTCTCAACACTCAACAGTCGAGTCTTGTGACGTTCAAAATATCGAAGATATGCGACATTTGCGCTTGCACACTTAGCACAGTTACAAGCTGGATGAGAAGTTTGCAGATAGCGAATATTGGGGGGCATTCGATGTCTGAGCAGTGTTGCACCGGCTTGCAACATGACATTCTATTAACGCCGAAGCACTTAGGGATTTTCTTCGCATTTACTTTTATATCAGGTCGTCGAAGATTACTTTGACGTCGTCTTTTTCAATTTCTTTCATGTTATCACACCGTTTTTTGGTTTTAGGAAGATCTGAGCAATATTCTACCGGCCTGCAATATCACACTCTATTAACCTCGAAGCACTTGAGTACTGTGCACTTTGACGCCGCCTTCTTTAATTAAATATTGAAGTTCTTTGGACTAAGCCATTGAGATATGCGGCTTATATGTTGGCAATTGTTAATATTTTATGCCATACGATATGATCATGCAAGTGAATGTTTCAAGTCCTCATTTTAGATTTCAATATTTGAATTGGCCCAGATTAATGCCGTAGTAACATAGTGCATAAATAGGAAAGAGACTCTCGTGGTCAATTATGTATTCGGAGGTGAGACATCAGTCAATAATAAAGCTTTAGTCACTTATATCCATAATATCGAAAATGAATAAGATGTTAGGCAAAGTCCAAGCAAAGTGGAGACCATTGCTGACAAAGAAATATATCGTCAGAAAGAATTCTTCAAAATACTTTATATAATTTTGCATAAGAATTTCATCCACTCTTTCCTGTAAATGAAAAGCTTAAAAGGACTTGAAAGGATTCCATGAAGTAATGTATGTTTTAAGAGGCTTGACGTACTCAAAAGAACGTGGTTTTCCTCGATTTCTTCACTTACTCTTTTGTTGAAGCAATAACGCCGCCCTTATTGAAGCGGTTGCTTGAAAAACATTTACTTGTGGCATGGGGACAAATTTAGTTCTTAAGAGTCTTCCAATCCGTTTGTCTGCAAGATTATAACTTAGAGTATAATGAGCTAGACCAACAATAAAAGTAATAAAAAAAAGACAAAGACAGTAAGGATAACAGGGGACTAAAGAAGAAGGTCCAGTTTCTAGAGGAAATGAAAAGAGAGAATGCCTTTAAGTAGAAACTTGCTCATTAAGGAAAAAAGAGCTAATCAAGGAAAGACTGATAAATCTTATCCATGCTTTATATCGATATGAGCTAAACGAGGCTCTAACGCAGAAAATAGAATTGTAAACGTAATTTCCGTCATGTTGCAGATATCCATCCAACTGGGTGGCAATGTAAAAGTGACAGTCTTCATCTTTTTAAGTTATTGATCAGGCATAGCTTTAAGAAACGAACGTAAAGATGGGATATCCTTGTTCACAGCTAAAAAGACTAAAGTTCTGCAACGCATGTAACGAAGAATGCTTCCCAAAATTACGATTGTCTAATTATCTATCACTCCAAGTTATCTTCAAAAAGCCTTTCGTAAGCCTTGTTTTTCTCAAGAAACTCAGCATATATGAGTCTGCCGTAACCGATTCTAACTGGCATATATTCCCTATGATATTCGGGAATTTTGGTAAACTTTACAAAAATATTTACCTAATTTCGTAAAGAGTTTTCAATTTCAAGTCAATTACGCTAATCCTCACTTTTCAGTATTCAGATCTTAAGTTTTAGTTTTTATACATTAAGTTAGAAAAATAAAAGAATAATCAATTGAAAAGGAAGACTCGGCTGTCGTTTATCGTTAAACCAAAGAATAAGTTTTTACTGTTTTTTCCATTTTTTTCTTAAACGTTACATCTATGCTTTATTTCGGAGTGATAAAACTAACGGCTTGCATAGTTTCCGCAAAAGTAAGTAAATTTGGGATGATTTTTTTTGTTGTAGTGGTTTAGTACCTGTTTTGAATCTTCTGGAATCGTTTCCAGAAAATACCTTGCTTTTTTGTCAAGCATCGCAGAAAAGGTTGCCTTTGCCGTTTAACTTCTTTTTGGGATATTATAGGCTGACACCTTGTCTACTTGTATCGTAATGTTCTAAGTGACACTAATAGTCGTGTTTAAAGAGTGCTTATATTCGTTTAAAAGCCTTTCCAAATAAGAATATTCTTATCGGATTTTCATTGAAACGGACTGTGAATAGATGTGAGACTGAGAGCAATTTCTTCATGATTAGAGGTTGTGCCAAAAATTTACAAGTTTGGCTTCGAGTTTTTGAAGCTACTTTAGCTATGGATATCGCTTGCCTTTCTTTTTCTGTGCTCCCCTTTAAACGAAAACATAAATTCACTTCGATATTTTAGGGAGGTACGCACGCAGAAAAGAGTTTTTTAAAAACATTTTCTTGGAATAGAAAAAAAGTACTTATTGCATCCAGGTTTTAGAAGCTTAAGTCTGTGAAAAAAAGGGTTTTTCTTAAAAATTCACAGTCATCTGTCTTTCTTGGCGTGGGTTTGATTTTGAGCAAAACGTAGTTCTCTAGCAATTGGTGACCGCAAACAGCGAATATACCCCCAATAATAATCAATTCCCTTTTTTGCTTTACACAATTTGGAAAATCGGGAATTGCTATCAATCAGATATCTCTGCACGAATTTATGGAACTACCCCTTAAAGGGAATTGTAATCTTGATTGTTTCGAAAGGGCTACTTGAGGGAAGGAACTCCTTTTTATAACGAATTAAACGGCGATTTGACTATCAGTTACTTAGAAGATTTCTAAAAAGAATTAATTGGTTTCGTTTATAGTTTAAATTCATTTATATATCCGAACAAGGTCTATATAAACATAAAGTAGTACAGGCAGGCCGCATATATTTTGAAAATGCAATATGAGATAATCAAAAGACTTAAGTGCAATATTCAGAAATGACTCAAAGATACCGCATAGCGAGATTACTCTTGAAATAAGGAAAAGCGAGAGCAGTGGTTTGATTTATTAGAACAGATATGTTTTAACCTTTCCTACTTTCTATTCTATATTTTACTATTTTGTTTTTACTACTGTAGTGCTTTGAGTTAAGCAGAAAGTTTGAAGGAAAGCCAAGAATACTTATACTATCTCTTGCCTTTCCATGTTCGTAGGAAAGTTGTATATCAACCTGCCCTTCCTAAAGAAGAATGCAAAAATTTTAACGTGGTCTTCCGTTAAAGAAAATTAAAGACAACTGAAGATAGAGAATACATTTCGCATTATGCGTTATTTCTTCAAATTATCAAGAGTTTCTTGGCATCGTTTCGCAATTTCTCCTTTACGAAGCCTTATCTTTAAGTTCAAAAGTAATTATCGCGAAGCACACTTGCCATTGCCATTGATTAAATAAGTCGTCATTTACTATTAAAAACCAAAGTTATATTATCTTACGATTCCTTAAGGAGCTGTTACTGTGTATATGAACACAGATAATCCAAATTTTGTTGGCCAATCTATAGTTTCAAGTTATTTACAAATTTTGCTATTTTAACAACTCAACAACTAACAGGCGGAAGACAACTATCTCTATTATTTAACATCTCTGCTTGCAAATATAAGCTTAAGTAAATCCGATGGCGTGCGAAATAAACACAATAAGCAATAGTCTGGGCCTTTATTGACTAAGACAATCCCGTCCCCTTCACAAACATTTATGTAACTAACGCTAATCCTATGATATTGCTTTAGGAATGCAGAGAAGAGTTAAGTGGTTTGCATTACTGAGATCAACGCATAACGCAAGTATTATGTGGTGACCTTTAGTTATTTTGTATTAGCTTATATGGGTAAGTGAGCACATTTCTTCTTCCTCTTCTTCTGCTATTCAGCAAATTAATAACTTAACATTAGCTGGGATGTGTCAAAAAGGCACATTTATTAAACCAGATCACAGGCAGGTAAACGAAACCTTCTGCCATATGGTAAATTTTTCGTTTGCCGCATACACATTGTTTTGTTATCTTTCAAGAACGCGTGAACAATTTCAGGAATATTGAACAAATTTTTAGAAAAGTTTATTGAAAATCTATTTGAAGCCAAAGCCGCATTAATTTATTTGAGGAAAAATGGATGATGAGGCTGAAACGTATAAATTGTGGCGAATACGTAAAACTATTATGCAGTTAAGTCATGATCGCGGTTACTTAGTAACCCAAGATGAGTTAGATCAGACGCTTGAACAATTCAAAGAAATGTTCGGTGATAAGCCAAGTGAAAAAAGGCCAGCACGATCAGATCTAATTGTTTTGGTTGCTCATAACGATGATCCCACCGATCAAATGTTTGTATTCTTTCCGGATGAGCCAAAAATCGGTATTAAAACCATTAAAACATACTGCACGCGCATGCAGGAAGAGAACATCCATCGTGCCATCGTAGTTGTGCAAGCCGGCATGACGCCATCCGCTAAACAAAGCCTTGTGGACATGGCACCGAAATATATATTGGAACAGTTTTTGGAATCGGAATTACTTATTAACATAACAGAGCATGAATTGGTTCCCGAACATGTTGTTATGACTCCAGAGGAAAAGCAGGAATTGCTAGCCCGTTATAAACTTAAAGAAAATATGTTAATGCGTATACAGGCCGGTGATCCAGTGGCTAGATATTTTGGACTAAAACGAGGCCAAGTGGTGAAGATTATACGTCCATCAGAGACAGCCGGACGTTATATATCGTATCGTTTAGTATGTTAAATGATACAAAGAAATTCCATTTTAAGCCTTTTCTAATTACATTACTATAATATAAAATTAATCTATAAAAATTATTAAAAAAGTTGCTTCTTTTTTCTAGATTTGGTCGTGCACTAAGGATTAAGAGAAACAAATTGAGAAATTTCTTAGGAGGGCCAGATAAGGAAGGTTGGGAATTATAAAACTTTTTAGTTATCAATGTTAGCCATTGTAGCATTGTAGCCTTCGGATTATCGATACACCCTGAATAGCCGCCCAATTTTGTTTTATAGATTTTCAAAACCCAAGAAATAGTATTGTGCACTCAGTCAGACTATTACGTCTTCGATCCTTTCAGCGTACCACAAACGTAGGCAAATTTGGATGGATTCGAGTAGAAGCTAACTACATAATAAAGAAGTCCATGAGCAAACGACTTTCGATAGCTTCTTCAAGAAGAAAGCCCTGCCAAGGGGACAAGGAAAAGGACGCCAGAATTGGTTTATCTATGAAATCTCTTTTTACTTTGTAGCAAACGTTTTAGGTGACGAACAGACAAATGTATGTAGTTGGAATTCGATTCATGCGCAAATCATATGTGTACACTTAGTAGCCGATATAAAGGCCTCCACTCTATTCTTAATTCTATATTTACATGGGCTAGCTTCCTTTACACGGTCTTTAGGTTAATATTCGGGATATATACAACTATAGAAGTACAATATCTATGTCGTCAAATTACAAAGAACCCAATACAAACGTCACACAGCTAGTTTCATTATTACACGGTATATGTTTTTGCACGGTGTTGGACTAACATGATTATTTTTTTGAGATATTTGAGAAGAAATATGTTTTGCTTGCACTGATTTCAATTTTACAAGCCTTTGCTGACAAAGTACAAGAATCGCAATCTATATCTTCCTTGGCATACCAAAAATATTCCCCATATTCTTGCAACTGTTTACATACTTTTCTTTTTTTTTTGTGGAATCAAAGCGACTCTTAGTGAATACAACATATGCCGACGGATAAAAGTTAGATAAAAAAAAGAAAAGAAAGAAAATAAAGCACTGTAGATAAATAAATAAAAAACTGACACTTGTTAGACTAACGACATGCCACGTGCACATTCTTTTCTTGTCCTTTTTTTCGGTACTTTTTTTCTTTCATTTTATATAAATATAATAAAAACTTTAAACTTAAGAAAAATGCATGACAAAGCGGAGAAATCCAGTATAACTCCTTCTTAACTTGATGACTCAAAGAGATCGTTGTGATGGGAAAAATAAAAAAGAAAAAAAAAAAAAACAAAAAAGTGTACATTTTCCAACTCAAACGGAATATTCTAAATTTTCCTTCTTAATAAAATAAATTGAAAACGTACTCGTAAGTATCTAAACATTGCGATAGAAATCATGTTTGAGTGTTTTTCTAAACAGAAGCGGAAAACGTCGAGTTTGAATTCGGGATAAAAACAAAAAAAAAGAAGAAAAAAACAGGCAAAAAGAAAAAACCGCCCCTTTAGAAACGAGTATTTTAGTGTTAGTGAGTGTGCGATGAGCATTTGAAAGTGCGCATTACCGTTTGAGAGTTTCACCGTTATATACTTGCAAAAATTTCAAATACATGCCAGAGAGGTTCCAAACGGAGCATCAAGAGAGCAGGAATATGAATTTATTTAGCTTCGATTGAATAACTTTTGCAGTATATGGAGTTATGTCATTGCCCGACCGGATACCCCATCATGCCTATGCACATACGTGCACAAGCATACCTATGTAACATACATTCTGCATTAGTATGAGTAAAATTTAGTTTGCTGTGTTAGAATTCTAACACTTTTGGCATAACTCTATCATCGATATACTCAAAAAGTCACAGTATCCTTCGTTTAGGGTGAGTCGCCTAAGTAAAACTCCACATA